AAAAAAAAACCCCAACGAGAAACACAGTTGTAATTGACAGAATAAACGAACTTTGAAACGTCACTTCACCCGTAGCAAGGGGAGTGGATGGCTCGAGCGGAAGGTGGCGGGGACAAAGTTGACGGGAACGACGTTTCATATATTTTTTTTGCGGGTCTGCCACTGGGCTGAGAGGGCCACGCGTGAAACTGGGTCACTCGTCCTTTTGTCCCGCTCGCCCTGGCTAACGCGATCTCGGCCCACGCGGCTTCTCATCAAGCTGCTCGGCCAGCCGAATGTTTTTGTGTTCGATGTCCGGGGCGGCGCAAAAAAACAAAAGAAAAACAAAAAAAAAACCGGTCGAAAATTTCGTTCGCTCACCCGAATTGTTCCGAGTTCCGTGGGGGTCACTCGATCTCTCACCACCCCCCCCCCCCCGAGTCTCCACTGCATCGTGGTTCGTCTGTGGCAGGTCGCGACCTCGCGGCGGTGTTCCCTTCGGCAGTCGGAAGGCCAAGGCGGCTCAGCGAGACGTGCCGGAGAAACTTTGGACACTCCGGGGGAGGGGGTCTTGCGAGCGCTTTTTGCTCGCATGCTGTCCGACAAAAGCTCGTCGCCCGAGCGCAAGACCCTCGCGCGGACGTGGCGGTCATTTTATTTCGTGCAATACCCGAAGTTGCCGACTCCCTCCGTATTCTATCTAACCTTTGACCTTCCCCGCGATGTACAAATGAAGCAATTGGCGGTGACCCCGAGGGAGGGAGGGGCGGGAGGGGGTGGCGGTGGTGGGAAAAACCGCGTGGCGACAGGAGCCTTGCTGCCGTACCCCCGACGACAAAACATCCAGTGGTCCGAACGATCGGCCTCGTCGAGAGCCACTCGGGGACACCCGGGCTTCGTAAGAAGTTGAAAAATTGCACACAAACGCGTCACATCCACCGCCCGGGGGTCACGAGCGCGGGCGGACTGAAAAATAATCATTTACCGTGGTGCGTCTCTGTGTCTATAATGATTCAGTTGTGTATCGTGACGCCGGTACTTGATGTCAAACGCGTGGTGGTGGTGGGGGGTGGGTGGGTGTGCCACTGTGGGAGATGTTAACTAGCTCGCCCGGGTATGTAGGAGGTCGTGCGTTTCCATCCTGACCGACGCCTGCTGTTAGATGTGCGGCAGTCGGCGTGTCGCCCCGTTGGGTGGCGTGGAATTTCCCCCGTCCCCCCCCCCCCCACCACCGGGGTCCTCCGTTTCTTTTGCCCCTCCACATTGAGAATCACCATCAGCGCCGTCGCCATCGCCAACACGCGTTTGGCCGCTATAAGTTTGCACGTGACGACGAGCCGCCGAAACCCCCAACACGTACAGGCGTCAGGGTCGGGTGATCGAGCCCACGGCCTCCTGCACATCAGGGCGAGGGAGTTAACACCTCCGAGCCGACCGTGGCAGTGGCAGTGGCCACGAGGCTAATGCTGTTGGGGACCAAGGCCCCCATCGAATCGGACTCAATTGATTCCAACTTGATTTGAAGCTTTCGTAAACTGCAGCAATGACCCTTTGGTTTCTTCCGGTACGGTCACGTAGAGAGAAGATAAATTAAAGCAATAGGGTGCGACGTTTCGATTGGAAACACAAGGGAGCGTGATCAGGTAGAACAACATTTCGAGAGAGAGACAAAACACGGACACGGAGACACACACAAGAGAGACACACAAGCAGAGAGAGAGACAACACACAGAGACACAGAGAGAGACAACACAGAGACACACACAGACACAACATACACAAAGACACAGAGACAACACAGAGAGAGACAACATAGACAACACAGAGACACACAACATAGACACACAGAGAGACACACAACATACGACACGAGAGACAACACAAAGACACACAGAGAGACAACACAGAGACACCAGAGACACACAACATAGACACACAGAGAGACAACACAGAGAGACAACACAGAGACACACAGACACACAGAGAGAGAGACACAGAGACACACAGAACACAACATACACAGAGACACACAGAGAGACAACACAGAGACACACAACATAGACACACAGAGAGAGACAACAGAGACACACAGAGAGACACACAACATAGACACACAAGCAGAGAGACAACACAGAGACACACAACATAGACACACAAGCAGAGACACAACACAGAGAGACACACAACACAGACACACAAGCAGAGAGACAACAAAGAGACACACAGAGAAACACATAGAGACACTGTGTGTATGTGTCTATGTTGTGTGTCTCTGTGTGGTCTCCGTGTCCGTGTTGTGTCTCTCTCTCAAATGTAGTTCTACCTGATCACGGTTGCTTGTGTTGCAATCGAAACGTCGACACTCCATTACTTAATTTATTTTCTTCCTACGTGACTCCACCGGAAGAACCAAGGAGGAAATGATTCCAGTCGGGTTCGAGGCGAAAATTCCAAATCCGAAACCACGCACCCGATCACTCCCACACACGGCGAAGACGGCGGTACACAACCCCTCTCTCTCTCTCTCCAAGTTGCCTACCACCGATCATCCCACACACGGCGAAGGCGCCGGTACACAACCCTCTCTCTCTCCCGATGACTCCCACACACGGCGAAGACGGCGGTACACAACCCCTCTCTCTCTCTCCCGATCACTCCCACACACGGCGAAGACATCGGTACACAACCGCCCCCTCTCTCCACGTTGCCTACCACCGATCACTCCCACACATGGCGAAGGCGCCGGTACACAACCCCCTCTCTCTCTCCCGATCACTCCCACACACGGCGAAGACGGCGGTACACAACCCAATCTCTCCACGTTGCCTACCACCGATCACTCCCACACACGGCGAAGACGGCGGTACAACAACCCCTCTCTCTCTCCAAGTTGCCTGCTCCAATCACTCACACACACGGCGAAGACGGCGGTACGCAACCCAATCTCTCCAAGTTGCCTACCACTGATCACTCCCACACACGGTGAAGACGGCGGTACACAACCCCCTCTCTCTCCACGTTGCCTACCACCGATCACTCCCACACACGGCGAAGACGGCGGTACACAACCCCCCTCTCTCCAAGTTGCCCACTCCCGATCAATTCCACACACGGCGAAGGCGCCGATACACAACCCTCTCTCTCCACGTTGCCTACCACCGATCACTCCCACACACGGCGAAGACACTGATACACAACAACCCCCTCTCAACACAACGATGCACACGCAGGCGGGGTGTGTGTGTGGTTTTCGTCGCGATTTCCTTTCAAATTCTCACGATTTATTTATTTATTCCCCACCCCCCCGCACAGGCCCAATCTCACCTGCGGCGGGCGAGGCGCGTTGAGAGCGAGCGAGAGAGAGCGAGCGAGCGAACGAGCGAGCGTGTGGGCGCGGAGTTTTTAAAAAAAAGAGAAATGACGGAGTAAAATTAAACTCGTCGACAGCGCACGGACGTCGCCGCTCGCACATCGCCGCACGTGGCCGTGGTAAAAACTAAAACCCGTGGGGGAGTGCGGCCGACAGCTACACCGCGGTACGTGGACGGGGCCAGGGGACGCCACGACTCGCACCGTTCTCGCGTGTAGGGGGAGGATTTGATTTGTTTTTGTTTACTGTTAAACCGTCAGACGCTCCCACCCCCCACCCCCTAAAAAACGGGGGGGGGCACCACCCCCCCCCCATCCCAGCAGAGGAGGTACACCGTCGGCGCCTCTCCCTCTCCAACCCCAGCACAAATCCTTCAATCCCCTAGCTCCCGCAACCCCTCAAAAATCTATCCCACAGAAAGCAAACGCCGGTGAACTGGAGAGGTGGCTCAAGGCGGCGGCGGGGGCGGTGGTGAGGCGGTGGGGGCGGTGGTGAGGCGGTGGGGGCGGTGGTGCCGGTGCCTGGCCATCGGTTTGACGTCCAGGATGCGAGATCGCCGGTGTCGCTCAATTAGCGGAGAGGGAGGAGGAGGAAGTGGAGGGGAGAGAGGGGAGGGAGGGAGGGGAGGGAGGAGAGGGAGGAGAGGGAGGAGAGGGAGGGAGGGAGGGAGGGGAGGGAGGAGGAGAGGGAGGGAGGGGAGGGGAGGGAGGGAGGGGAGGGAGGGAGGGGAGGGAGGGAGGGAGGGAGGGAGGGAGGGAGGGATGGGAGGGAGGAGAGGGAGGGGGGGAGGGAGGGAGGGAGGGGAGGGAGGGGGGGGAGGGGAGGGAGGGAGGGGAGGGAGGGAGGGAGGAGGAGGGGGAGGGAGGGGAGGGAGGGAGACGACAGCTGTTCGCCACGGTGGCTGGGAGGATGTTGACGACCTCGCGACCGCTTGTCTCAGGAGGTCGTGGGTTCGATCCCCAACCCGATGACCCGCTGCTCGACATTGGGAGCTTGCGCGTCTGTCTCTCTCTGTCTGTCTCTCTGTCTCTCTCTCTGTCTGTCTCTTCGTCTCTCTGTCTCTCTCTCTGTCTCTCTCTCGGAGTCGATTTCTCTCACGATTTTTCCCTCCACATTTAAAAAAAGACACAAAACGTGCGTCTCAAAGCGTGTTGGGCTGCTATATACTTTTCCAAAAAAGAACTAGACAACTCAGCGGGGCCTTACCTGGTAAAGTAAAACTAGTTTGTTCTAATATCGCTTGAAAGTGGAAACATCTTTCTCTGCGGCAGGCTGACAACTCTCTCTCTCTCGTGATTGGTCAACGGCGGGAAAGTGCTCGACCCCCCCTCCGGTCAGAGACCGCTTCATTGGCCAACAGTTGTCAGCTGCTCTCTCACGATTGGTCAACGGCTTCCCCCCCCCCCCCCCCACCTCCCGCTCGCCCGTCTGCGATTGGTCGATCGGCAGCGACAACCGCCCCCGCCCCGCCCCGTGATTGGCCGACGGTACCGGTACCAACAACTCACCTCTCCTACCTCCGCCGCCTTGGAAAAAAATTCCCTGCCGCTCCTTCCCTCACGCACCGTTAAAAAAAACTCCCCCCCCCACCCACCCACCACCCACCCACCCACCCACCCCCCACACCCACCGGAACCCCCCCCCCCCCCAACCGAAATCCAAAACCCTGGTCCCTTCACGAGCCAAATGTCCTCTCCTCTAACGCCGGGGCGGCGGCTTTGTCGTCTTCTCCCCGCCGCCAACAAATGCCAACCGACCACGACCAAAGCGGCGGCGGCAGGCAATCGGCCCGCCTCCTCCCGCCTCTCCGCCTCCCGACCCCATCCACCGCCTCCCCACTAGAGGATCTTCTCCTGGATGAAGGGGTGCTGCAGCGCCTGGTTGATGGAGACTCGCTTGGCCGGGTCGAGCATCAGCGTCTGCTCCAGCAGCTCGCGAAGCTGCAGGACCTTCTTTCGCTGCTCCTCGGGCAGCCGCTGGAAGCCCACCAGCTCGGCCAGCAGGTCCTTGGTGGGGTTGATGGAGCTCATGATGGTCACCTTCTCCTGCGCGCGGTGGTGGTGGTGGTGGTGGTGATCGTGTGGAGGGGGGGAGGAGGGGAGGGGAGGGGAGGGGAGTAAGAGGAGGAGGATGATGTTGGTGGTGGTGGTGGTGATGATGGTGATGATGAGGACAATGAGCAGGAGGAGTGTAAGGATAAAAATGATGATGATGATGAGGAGCGGGGGGAGGGGGGAAGAGGAGGTAGGATGGGGGGAGGAGGGTGGAAGGAGGATGATGATGATGAGGACGATGAGGACAATGAGCAGGAGGAGTGTAAGGATAAAAATGATGATGATGAGGAGGAGCGGGGGGAGGGGGGAAGAGGAGGTAGGATGGGGGGAGGAGGGTGGAAGGAGGATGATGATGATGAGGACGATGAGGACAATGATCAGGAGGAGTGTAAGGATAATGATGATGAGGAGCGGGGGGAGGGAGGAGGTAGGATGGGGGGAGGAGGGTGGGAGGATGATGATGATGATGAAGACGATGAGCAGGAGGGGGAGGAGGAGTGTAAGGATAATGATGATGAGCGGGGGGAGGGGGGAAGAGGAGGTAGGATGGGAGGAGGAGGGTGGAAGGAGGATGATGATGAGGACGATGAGGACAATGAGCAGGAGGAGTGTAAGGATAATGATGATGAGGAGCGGGGGGAGGGAGGAGGAGGAGGTAGGATGGGGGGAGGAGGGTGGGGGGAGGAGGTGTCAGAGGTCTTGAGGCTGTGACGCTGTGTGGGGATAATTTCGGATGAGATTTCCGAAGTCGCCATTTGAATTGTACCCCCTGGCTGCCAACGAACCTCGTTCCCTGCGTTGTGTAGTCAACTCACAAGGTCCAAGAGTCTCTCCGTGTCCCCGTATCCCCATTCTACCCGTGTCTCCTGTCTCCTGTGTCCCAATTCTACCAAGTCTCCTGTCTCCCGTGTCTCCACGCCACCCGTGTCTCCGTGTCTCCCGTGTCTCCACGCCACCCGTGTCTCCCGTGTCTCCGTGTCTCCTGTCTCCCGTGTCCCCACGCCACCCGTGTCTCCCGTGTCTCTCTGTCCCGTGTCCTCACGCTACCCGTGACTCCCGTGTCCCACGCCACCCGTGACTCCCCGTGTCTCTCTGTCTCCCGTGTCCTCACGCTACACGTGTCCCGTGTCCCCACGCCACCCGTGACTCCCCGTGTCTCTCTGTCTCCCGTGTCCTCACGCCACCCGTGTCTCCCGTGTCTCTCTGTCCCCGTGTCCCCACGCCACCCGTGACTCCCCGTGTCTCTCTGTCTCCCGTGTCCTCACGCTACCCGTGTCTCCCGTGTCTTCTGTCTCCGTGTCCCCACGCCACCCGTGACTCCCCGTGTCTCTCTGTCTCCCGTGTCCCCACGCTACCCGTGTCTCCCGTGTCTCTCTGTCTCCCGTGTCCCACGCCACCCGTGACTCCCGTGTCTCCCGTGTCTCCCGTGTCCCCAGGCACCCGTGTCTCCCGTGTCTCTCTGTCTCCCGTGTCCCCAGCACCCGTGACCCCGTGTCTCTCTGTCTCCCGTGTCCCCACGCCACCCGTGACTCCCCGTGTCTCTCTGTCCCCCGCGTCTCCCGCGTCCCCAAGTGTCTCACCCTCTCTGTGACCTTGTCCACCTCAATGTACATGAAGTTGAGGTTTTGGTCAAAGTGCTGATCTTTGAATGTCCCTTTCCGGATCATCTGGAGCACACACACACACGCACACACACACGCACACACACACACACAGCGTCACACACTTGCACACGCACACACACGCGCACACACACAGCGTCACACACGCACACACACACACATGCGCACAGCGTCACACACGCGCACACACACACAGCGTCACACACGCACAGCGTCACACACACACAGCGTCACACGCGCGCGGCCGGTGCCGCCGGCGACTGCGGTCACTCTCCTCTCCGGGAAGGGGGGGGGGCCACGTGATGCGGCGATCCTCAAGACCGTTGGTGGACCGAGGATCGTCCGGTTCCACGTTCCCTAGAGTATCGGGGGGCCCGCCCGCCGCTGCTGCTGCTGTGAATTCGCCACACGCGGCGATGGCGATGAGCCGCCGGCGTTGGGCTGCTACCGTTTGTGATGGCCGGTTTGTCGCTTCTGACGAACGCCTAGAGGCAGCTCACCGGGGCCTTGCACCCGGCGAAATAAAAATGAAGTCGTTTTTTTTTTAAAAAAAAAAGCAGCAGTAGGAGTAGTTTAATGGAACAGAGTTTGTGTACTCTTTGGTTCTATTCGGTAAAGTCACCACGTAGGTAAAAAAATAAAACAACAAAAAATCACGACGTTTCGTCCACAACACAAGCGGCCTTCATCAGGTGTTGTTATATAAAAATTTTTTACCTACGTGGTGACTTTAGCGAATAGAACCAAAGAGTATGGATCCTTGCAGTCACGAAAGCTTCAAATCTAGAATAGACTTTTGTGTCTTCTCTCCCACTCTGTTCTGAGTCGGTTTTGGTGCAGGAACCTCCGGTTACCTCCCGTGGCTAAATCCACACTCACAGTGGAAGTGGAATTGGCCAAACTCGCATTCCCCAATGCTAAAATGTTACCTGCAAACCACTCAAATGGGATCGCACGCAACAACAGCAGCAACAACAACAGCAGCAACAACAACATCGTCAAAAAACGTGGCAGGATCCTCCAGACAAAAAGAGAGAGGTGAACTTCATAGCCAGCCGGGCTAATCAGAGGTGCGGAGGAAGGACAACTGTGGGTCTGTGTGGTGAGTCTGTGGGTCTCTGTGTGGTGAGTCTGTGGGTCTCGTGTGGTGAGTCTATGGGTCTCTGTGTGGTGAGTCTATGGGTCTCTGTGTGGTGAGTCTATGGGTCTCTGTGTGGTGAGTCTGTGGGTCTCTGTGTGGTGAGTCTGTGGGTCTCTGTGTGGTGAGTCTGTGGGTCTCTGTGTGGTGAGTCTGTGGGTCTCTGTGTGGTGAGTCTATGGGTCTCTGTGTGGTGAGTCTATGGGTCTCTGTGTGGTGAGTCTATGGGTCTCTGTGTGGTGAGTATATGGGTCTCTGTGTGGTGAGTCTGTGGGTCTCTGTGTTGTGAGTCTGTGGGTCTCTGTGTGGTGAGTTTGTGGGTCTCTGAGCGGTGAGTCTATGGGTCTCTGTGTGGTGAGTCTATGGGTCTCTGTGTGGTGAGTCTATGGGTCTCTGTGTGATGAGTCTATGAGTCTCTGTGTGGTGAGTCTATGGGTCTCTGTGTGATGAGTCTATGGGTCTCTGTGTGATGAGTCTATGGGTTTCTGTGTGGTGAGTCTATGGGTCTCTGTGTGGTGAGTCTATGGGTCTCTGTGTGGTGAGTCTATGGGTATCTTTGTGAGTTTATGGGTCTCTGTGAGTCTATGGGTCTCTGTGTGGTGAGTCTGTGGGTCTCTGTGTGGTGAGTCTGTGGGTCTCTGTGTGGTGAGTCTATGGGTCTCTGTGAGTCTATGGGTCTCTTTGTGAGTCTATGGGTCTCTGTGAGTCTGTGGGTCTCTGTGTAGTTAGTCTATGGGTGTCTGTGTAGTGAGTCTATGGGTCTCTGTGTAATTCTGTGGGTCGCTGTGTGAGTCTATGGGTCTCTGTGTGAGTCTATGGGTCTCTGTGTGAGTCTATGGGCCTCTGTGTGAGTCTATGGGGCTATGTGTAGTGAGTCTATGGGTGTTTGTGTAGTGAGTCTATGGGTCTATTTGTGAGTCTATGGGTCTCTGTGAGTCTATGGGTCTCTGTGAGAGTCTATGTGTCTCTGTGTGAGTCTATGGGTCTCTGTGAGTCTATGGGTCGCTGTGTGAGTCTATGGGTCTCTGTGAGTCTATGGGTCGCTGTGTGAGTCTATGGGTCTCTGTGTGAGTCTATGGGTCTCTGTGTGAGTCTATGTTATGTTGAACAACTTCGCACCACCGTCGGAAGCCAACCGCGCGAATCGGAGCTGTGCGGGAAGGACAAGAAAGTAAATGAATTAGGCGTAAAAAGGAAAAAAGCCAAACGCACAGCACCCACTGTGACAATAAACCCCACACCATTAGACTCACACAGAGACCCATAGACTCACACAGAGACCCATAAACTCACACAGAGACCCATAGACTCACACAGAGACCAATGACTCACACACAGACCCATAGACTCACACAGAGACCCATAGACTCACACAGAGACCCATAGACTCACACAGAGACCCATAGACTCATCACAGAGACCCATAGATTCACACAGAGACCCATAGACTCACACAGAGACCCATAGACTCACACAGAGACCCATAGACTCACACAGAGACCAATGACTCACACACAGACCCATAGACTCACACAGAGACCCATAGACTCATACAGAGACCCATAAACTCACACAGAGACCCATAGACTCACACAGAGACCCATAGACTCACACAGAGACCCATAAACTCACACAGAGACCCATAAACTCACACAGAGACCCATAGACTCACACAGAGACCCATAGACTCACAGAGACCCATAGACTCACACAGAGACCCATAGACTCACACACAGACCCATAGACTCACACACAGAACCATAGACTCACCCAGAGACCCATAGACTCACACAGAGACCCATAGACTCACACAGAGACCCATAGACTCACACAGAGACCCATAAACTCACACAGAGACCCATAGACTCACACAGAGACCCATAGACTCACACACAGACCCATAGACTCATACAGAGACCCATAGACTCACACAGAGACCCATAGACTCACGAAGAGACCCATAGACTCACACAGAGACCCAGACTCACAAAGAGACCCATAGACTCACACAGAGACCCATAGACTCACGAAGAGACCCATAGACTCACACAGAGACCCACACACACATACACGTGCCACAATGCTCACGACCCTCTTCTGTAATGGCGATAGCTAAAACAAAGATCCCCCGTGTATAGCCTTGACAGACTGTTGGGGCAAGTGCCGTTACAGCGAGCAGCACCTGTGAAGGCCGGCACGGTGGCGCACGAGGGGGTGGGCGGCCAGCACCACGCCCGGCCGCCTTTGTCTCCCCCCAGTGGCGATGTTTACTACCACACCACCGTACCAGGCAACTAATTTGAGGCCGAGCCGACCTAGGGGAGGCCCAGGACCGATTCGGAGAATCGCCACTGGGCCGCCGGTTTCGTACCGCGACGCTGCCACCTCCCCCCCCCCGCCGCCCCCGGCTCACCTTGTTGGGCATCTTTCCCTTGAGGTCCATCATGAGCTTGACCATGTGGTTGTTGGTCTTTCCGGGGAAGAGGATGCGTCCCGTGTACAGCTCGTACAGCGTGCAGCCCACGGACCACATGTCGATGGCGTAGTCGTAGGCCTTGCCGATCACTGGCAGCCGGGGTGGGGCGGGGGGCGGGCGGGTCCGCAATGGACGTGGCGGGAGGCAATGGTGAGGTTGGCTACGCGGTTCAAACGTACGCCCGTACAAAGGCTCGCGCAGAGACCCCCACGGACTCACGCACACTGACACCGGCGAAGTCCGTGCAGAGAACCGTGGCTTGGCGTCCTTACCCCGCACCTCCGATTAGCACGGTCGGCTACGTGCGGTTTAAGGTCTCGCAGATTCATCGCGGAGAGGCGCAGAGACTCGCCAAAGACAAAGATCCCCAGCACAGCCTGAACATGCCATGGGGGGCAAGCGCTGTTAGCGAGCACCTGTGTAGGCCGGAACGATGGCACACGAGGGGGGTGGGTGGCCAGCGCCACGCCCGGCCGCCTTTGTCCCCCAGTGGCGATGTTTACTACTACACACACCGCACAGCACCAGGTTCGTGACCGGCTCGGACAATCGTCACCGGTGCTGCATGACCCGAGCGGGATTCGAAGTCGGGTGGGCCGGGGTTTGAAGCCGCAGCGTGCCAACTGCTGCGCCACCGCTCCACCGCCATCGTCAATCCCCACCCTCACCTCTCATGCACTCGCCCCTCCACCCTCACCCCTCACCCCCAGCGCTCACCGATCTCGGGTGCGCGGTAGAAGCGGCTCACGAGGTAGGGGGTGATGTCACAGTCGGCGATGTGCGACGCAGAACCAAAGTCGCACAGCTTCAGGATCGTCTTGGACTCGTTCACCTGGGCGGAGGGGGGGGGGCAGGAGTCATGGCAGGGGGCCACGCGGGGAGGTTAGGGGGGGTCCCCCCCCCCACCCCCACCGCCAAACGCACGCACGGTGCCCCCAACTTTGCGACATCATCAAGTACCCATCCCGCCCGCCCGCCCGCCGCACCAGGATGTTGTCGGGCTTGATGTCGGCGTGCAGGATGTTGCACTTCTTGAGCAGCTTGAGCGCCAGGAAGAGCTGCTGGCTGTAGGAGCGCACCGCCTTAATGTGCAGCCCCACGTCCTTGCCGTACTTCTTCAGCACCTCACGCAGGTTCATGCTGGACAGCGCGGGGGTGGAGCGGGGGTGGAGCGGGGGAAGTTGGTGGTGGTGGAGAGGGAGAGAGAGAGAGAGGGGGAGAGGCACACACAGAGAGAGAGAGTGTGAGAGACGTGGAGAGAGTGTGGGAGACACACAGAGAGTGTGAGACACGAGGGGGAGAGTGTGAGAGACACACAGAGAGTGTGAGACACACACACAGAGTGTGAGACACGTGGAGAGAGTGTGGGAGAACACAGAGAGAGTGTGAGACACACACAGAGAGTGTGAGACACGAGGGGGAGAGTGTGAGACACAGAGAGTGTGAGACACACAGAGAGTGTGAGACACACACAGAGAGTGTGAGACACGTGGAGAGAGTGTGAGACACACACAGAGAGTGTGAGACACGTGGAGAGAGTGTGAGACACACACAGAGAGTGTGAGACACGTGGAGAGAGTGTGGGAGACACACAGAGAGTGTGACACGTGGAGAGAGTGTGAGACACACACAGAGAGAGTGTGAGACACGAGGGGGAGAGTGTGAGACACAGAGAGTGTGAGACACGAGGGGGAGAGTGTGAGACAGAGAGTGTGAGACACCACAGAGAGAGTGTGAGACACGAGGTGGGAGTGTGGGACACACACAGAGAGTGTGGGACACACACAGAGAGTGTGAGACACAGAGAGTGTGAGACACAGAGTGTGAGACACACACAGAGAGTGTGAGACACACAAGAGAGTGTGAGACACACACAGAGAGTGTGAGACACACACAGAGAGTGTGAGACACACACAGAGAGTGAGAGACACGTGGAGAGAGTGTGTGAGACACACAGAGAAGTGTGAGACACAAGGGGGAGAGTGTGAGACACAGAGAGTGTGAGACACACAGAGAGTGGAGACACACACAGAGAGTGTGAGACACACACAGAGAGTGTGAGACACACACAGAGAGTGAGAGACACGTGGAGAGAGTGTGTGAGACACACAGAGAGAGTGTGAGACACAAGGGGGAGAGTGTGAGACACAGAGAGTGTGAGACACACACAGAGAGTGTGAGACACGTGGAGAGAGTGTGAGACACACACAGAGAGTGTGAGACACACACAGAGAGTGTGAGACACACACAGAGAGTGTGAGACACACACAGAGAGTGTGAGACACACACAGAGAGTGTGAGACACGAGGGGGAGAGTGTGAGACACAGAGTGTGAGACACACACAGAGAGTGTGACACACACAGAGAGTGTGAGACACACACAGAGAGTGTGAGACACACAGAGTGTGAGACACACAGAGAGTGTGAGACACACACAGAGAGTGTGAGACACACACAGAGAGTGTGAGACACACACAGAGAGTGTGAGACACACAGAGAGTGTGAGACACAGAGTGTGAGACACACACAGAGAGTGTGAGACACACACAGAGAGTGTGAGACACACACAGAGAGTGTGAGACACACACAGAGAGTGTGAGACACACACAGAGAGTGAGAGACACGTGGAGAGAGTGTGTGAGACACACAGAGAGAGTGTGAGACACAAGGGGGAGAGTGTGAGACACAGAAGTGTGAGACACACACAGAGAGTGGGAGACACACACAGAGAGTGTGGACACACACAGAGAGTGTGAGACACACACAGAGAGTGAGAGACACGTGGAGAGAGTGTGTGAGACACACAGAGAGAGTGTGAGACACAAGGGGGAGAGTGTGAGACACAGAGAGTGTGAGACACAACAGAGAGTGTGAGACACGTGGAGAGAGTGTGAGACACACACAGAGAGTGTGAGACACACACAGAGAGTGTGAGACACACACAGAGAGTGTGAGACACACACAGAGAGTGTGAGACACACACAGAGAGTGTGAGACACGAGGGGGAGAGTGTGAGACACAGAGTGTGAGACACACACAGAGAGTGTGAGACACACACAGAGAGTGTGAGACACACACAGAGAGTGTGAGACACACAGAGTGTGAGACACACAGAGAGTGTGAGACACACACAGAGAGTGTGAGACACACACAGAGAGTGTGAGACACACACAGAGAGTGTGAGACACGTGCAGAGACAGTGTGAGACACACAGAGAGAGTGTGAGACACGAGGGGGAGAGTGTGAGACACAGAGAGTGTGAGACACACACAGAGAGTGTGAGACACACACAGAGAGTGTGAGACACACACAGAGAGTGTGAGACACACACAGAGAGTGTGAGACACGAGGGGGAGAGTGTGAGACACAGAGAGTGTGAGACAACACAGAGAGTGTGAGACACACACAGAGAGTGTGAGACACGTGGAGAGAGTGTGAGACACACACAGAGAGTGTGAGACACACACAGAGAGTGTGAGACACGTGGAGAGAGAGGGGGAGACACACAGAGAGAGTGTGAGACACGAGGGGAGAGTGTGAGACAAACGGAGACACGGGGGAGACTTTGTGAGACGCACGGAGACACGGGGGAGACTGTGTGAGACGCACGGAGACACGTGGAGACTGTGTGAGACACACGGAGACACGGAGGAGACTGTGTGAGACACACGGAGACACGGGGGAGACTTTGTGAGACACACGGAGACACGTGGGATGTATGAGACACACGGAGACACGTGGAGACTGTGTGAGACACACGGAGACACGGAGGAGACTGTGTGAGACGCACGGAGACACGGGGGAGACTATGTGAGACACACGGAGACACGTGGAGACTGTGTGAGACACACGGAGACAAGGGGGAGACTGTGTGAGACACACGGAGACACAGAGGAGACTGTCTGAGACACACGGAGACACGGAGGAGACTTTGTGAGGGAGGAGAGGGAGGGGAGGGAGGAGAGGGAGGGAGGAAGGGAGGGAGGGAGGGAGAGAGGGAGGGGAGTGAGGAGAGGGAGGGGAGGGAGGGAGGTGAGGGAGGAGAGGGAAGGGGAGGGAGGGAGGTGAGGGAGGTGAGGGAGCTGAGGGAGGGAGGTGAGGGAGGAGAGGGAGGGAGGTGAGGGAGGGAGGAGAGGGAGGAGAGGGAGGGAGGTGAGGGAGGAGAGAGAGGGAGGGAGGTGAGGGAAGGAGAGGGAGGTGAGGGAGGAGAGGAGGAGAGGGAGGAGAGGGAGGAGAGGGAGGGAGGTGAGGGAGGAGAGGGAGGAGAGGGAGGAGAGGAAGGGAGGAGAGGAGGGAGGGAGGGAGGGAGGGTGAGGAGGAGAGGGAGGAGAGGAAGGGAGGGAGGGAGGAGAGGGAGGAGAGGGAGGGAGGGAGGGGAGAGGAGGTGATGGAGGTGAGGGAGGGAGGAGAGGGAGGAGAGGAGAGGGAGGGAGGTGAGGGAGGAGAGAGAGGGAGGGAGGTGAGGGAGGAGAGGGAGGTGAGGGAGGAGAGGGAGGAGAGGGAGGTGAGGGAGGGAGGAGAGGGAGCCCCTACCTGAGGGGTTCGAACACGAGACACAGGTGCTGCTTGTGGGTGAAGTGGCGGTACAGGCGCAGGCAGTGGAACTTGTCGTCGGGGTCGGCGTCATTCAGCTTCTTGAGGAACTCGAGCTCCTTGAGGCCGGTCTTCTGCCTGCAGACGGACAGCGGGGAGAGACGCAGGGAGAGACACGGGAGAGACACGGGGAGAGACACGGGGGAGAGACACGGGGAGAGACGCGGGGAGAGACACGGGGAGAGACACGGGGAGAGACGCGGGGAGAGACGCGGGGGAGAGACACGGGGAGAGACACGGGGGAGAGACACGGGGAGGGACACGGGGAGAGACACAGGGAGGAGACACGGGGAGAGACACGGGGAGAGACGCGGGGAGAGACGCGGGGAGAGATGCGGGGAGAGACGCGGGGAGAGACGCGGGGAGAGACACGGGGAGAGACACGGGGGAGAGGACACGGGGAGAGACACGGGGAGAGACACGGGGAGAGACGCGGGGAGAGACGCGGGAGAGACGCGGGAGAGACGCGGGGAGAGGGGAACACGGGGAGAGACACGGGGAGAGACACGGGGAGAGGGAGAACACGGGGAGAGACACGGGGAGAGACGCGGGGAGAGACACGGATAGAGACACGGGGAGAGACACGGGGAGAGACACGGGGAGAGACACGGGGGAGAGACACGGGGAGAGACGCAGGGAGAGACACGGTGAGAGACACGGGGAGGACACGGGGAGAGACACGGGGAGAGACACGGGGAGAGACGCGGGGAGAGACGCGGGGAGAGACACGGGAGAGACACGGGGAGAGACACGGGGAGAGACGCGGGGAGAGACAAGGGGAGAGACACGGGGAGAGACACGGGGGAGAGACACGGGGAGAGAACACGGGGAGAGACACGGGGAGACACACGGGGAGAGACGCGGGGAGAGACGCGGGAGGAGACGCCGGGGGAGAGACACGGGGGAGAGACACGGGGGAGAGACACGGGGGAGAGACACGGGGAGAGACACGGGGAGAGACACGGGGGAGAGACGCGGGGAGAGGACACGGGGGAGAGACACGGGGGAGAGACACGGGGAGACACGGGGAGAGACACGGGGAGAGACGCGGGGAGAGACGCGGGAGAGACACGGGGGAGAGACACGGGGAGAGACACGGGGAGAGACACGGGGAGAGACACGGGGAGAGACGCGGGGAGAGACACGGGGAGAGACACGGGGAGAGACACGGGGAGAGACGCGGGGAGAGACGCGGGGAGATACGCGGGGAGAGACACGGGGAGAGACACGGGGAGAGACGCGGGGAGAGACGCGGGGGAGAGACGCGGGGAGAGACGCGGGGAGAGACGCGGGGAGAGACACGGGGAGAGACACGGGGGAGAGACACGGGGGAGAGACACGGGGAGAGACACGGGGAGAGACGCGGGGAGAGACGCGGGGAGAGACGCGGGGAGAGACGCGGGGAGAGGGGAACACGGGGAGAGACACGGGGAGAGACACGGGGAGAGGGAGACACGGGGAGAGGACACGGGGAGAGACGCGGGGGAGAGACACGGGGAGAGACACGGGGAGAGACACGGGGAGAGACACGGGGAGAGACACGGGGGAGAGACACGGGGAGAGACGCAGGGAGAGACACGGGGAGAGACACGGGGGAGAGACACGGGGAGAGACACGGGGAGAGACACGGGGAGAGACACGGGGAGAGACGCGGGGAGAGACGCGGGGAGAGACACGGGGAGAGACACGGGGAGAGACGCGGGGAGAGACAAGGGAGAGACACGGGGAGAGACACGGGGGAGAGACACGGGGAGAGACACGGGGAGAGGACACGGGGAGAGACACGGGGAGAGACGCGGGGAGAGACGCGGGGAGAGACGCGGGGAGAGACACGGGGGAGAGACACGGGGGAGAGACACGGGGGAGAGGACACAGGGAGAGACACGGGGAGAGACGCGGGGAGAGACACGGGGAGAGACACGGGGAGAGACACGGGGGAGAGACACGGGGAGACACGTGGGAGAGACACGGGGAGAGACGCGGGGGAGAGACGCGGGGAGAGACACGGGGGAGAGACACGGGGGAGAGACACGGGGGAGAGACACGGGGAGAGACACGGGGAGAGACACGGGGAGAGGACCGCGGTGAGAGACACGGGGAGGACACGGGGAGAGACACGGGGAGAGACACGGGGGAGAGACACGGAGAGAGACACGGGGAAGAGACACGGGGAGAGACACGGGGAGAGACACGGGGGAGAGACACGGGGAGAGACGCGGGGAGAGACACGGGGAGAGACACGGGGAGAGACACGGGAGAGACATGGGAGAGACACGGGGGAGAGACCACGGGGAGAGACACGGAGAGAGACACGGGGGAGAGACACGGTGGGAGAGACACGGGGGAGAGACACGGGGAGAGACACGGGGAGAGACACGGGGAGAGACACGGAGAGAGGGGGACACGGGGACACGGGGAGAGGGGGACGGGGGGAGACACGGAGAGAGGGGAGACACGAGGAGAGACGCGGGGAGTGGGAGACACGGGGAGAGGGAGACACAGGGAGAGGGACACGAGGAGAGGGGGACACGGGGGGAGACACGGGGAGAGGGGACACGGGGAGGGGAGACACGGGGAGAGGGAGACACGGGGAGAGACACGGGGGGAGACACGGGGACATGGCAGAGTGAGTGCTGTCTTAGTGGCAGTGTTAAAAGTGCTGGTGCTGTAGTGCCAGTATGGTAGGGCACATGGTTAGTATTATAGCGCACAGTGTAATAGCCAGTGCTGGTAGTGTAAAGCTGTTTGCTGGTGCTGTATCACAGGTGATAGTTCTCTATCGCTGGTGCTGTGTCACAGGTGATAGTGCTCTATCGATGGTACTGTATTGCTGTGCTGTATCACAGCTGATAGTTCTCTATCACTGGTGCTGTATCGCTGGTGATAGTTCTCTATCGCTGGTGCTGTATCACAGCTGATAGTTCTCTATCGCTGGTGCTCTATCGCTGGTGCTGTATCACAGCTGATAGTTCTCTATCGCTGGTGCTGTATCACAGGTGACAGTTCTCTATCGCTGGTGCGTATCGCTGGTGATAGTTCTCTATCGCTGGTGCTGTATCAAAGGTGATAGTTCTCTATCACAGGTGCTGTATCACAGCTGATAGTTCTCTATCACTGGTGCTCTATTGCTGGTGCTGTATCACAGGTGATAGTTATCTATCGCTGGTGCTGTATCACAGCTGATAGTTCTCTATCGCTGGTGCTGTATCACTGGTGATAGTTCTCTATCGCTGGTGCTGTATCGCTGGTGCTGTATCAAAGGTGATAGTTCTCTATCACAGGTGCTGTATCACAGCTGATAGTTCTCTATCGCTGGTGCTGTATCACAGCTGATAGTTCTCTATCGCTGGTGCTGTATCACAGCTGATAGTTCTCTATCGCTGGTGCTGTATCACAGGTGATAGTTCCTATCACTGGTGCTGTATCACAGGTGATAGTTCTCTATCGCTGGTGCTGTATCACAGGCGACAGTTCTCTATCGCTGGTGCTCTATCGCTGGTGCTGTATCACAGCTGATAGTTCTCTATCGCTGGTGCTCTATCGCTGGTGCTGTATCACAGCTGATAGTTCTCTATCGCTGGTGCTCTATCGCTGGTGCTGTATCACAGCTGACAGCTCTCTATCGCTGGTGCTGTGTCACAGGTGACAGTTCTCTATCGCTGGTGCTGTATCACAGCTGATAGTTCTCTATCGCTGGTGCTGTATCACAGCTGATAGTTCTCTATCGCTGGTGCTGTATCACAGGCGACAGTTCTCTATCGCTGGGTGTATCGCTGGTGCTGTATCACAGCTGATAGTTTATCTATCGCTGGTGCTGTATCACAGGCGACAGTTCTCTATCGCTGGTGCTGTATCACAGGCGACAGTTCTCTATCGCTGGTGCTGTATCACAGGCGACAGTTCTCTATCGCTGGTGGTGTATCGCTGGTGCTGTATCACAGCTGATAACTCTCTATCGCTGGTGCTCTATCGCAGGTGCTGTATCACAGCTGACAGTGCTCTATCGCTGGTGCTGTATCACAGGCGACAGTGCTCTATCGCTGGTGCTGTATCACAGGCGACAGTTCTCTATCGCTGGTGCTGTATCCTCCGAGTGCTGCTCCAGGGGGCTCTTTACATGAGCTCGTTGTTGCGGATGATCTTGATGGCGACGTCCTGGCTGGCGCGAGCGATGTCGCGCGCCCGCACCACGTTGCTGAACACGCCCTGGCCCGTGTAGCCGTACACGTTGTAGCGCTTGTCCAGCACCTCGCCAATGTTCACGCCTGAAGAGAACAGCCGAAGAAGAAGACTTCGAAAACCATCGTTTCATTTGACCAGGTGAGGCCCATGCCGAGCTATCCCGGCTCCTTTTTTCTAGGAGCAAACACGAGCGGCTTGTCATTGCGTGGAATTGTGTCGGCGGCCAGACGCCCAAGAAGCAAATGTGGCGGGCGAAAGACCCGGAGAAAAATCCACGCGACCGCGGGGAGGGAGAGAGGGAGAGAGAGAGAGAGGGACGTGAAAAATCCGGGATCGTTAACCCACGACCTCCTGTACACACCAGGCAAGGGAGTTATAACATCACGCCACAAACAAAGTTCCACCGCACAGCCATGTTGGGGGCAAGCGCTGTTAAGCGAGCACCTGCGATGGCTGACAAGGCGCACGAGGGGGTGGAGGGGGTGGACAGCACCACGCCCGTCCGCCTTTCTCTTCCCACCACCGCCCCCCGCACAAGTGTGGCGACGTTCACACAACGCACCGGGTACTCGTTTGAGGCCGAGCCGACCTAGCGGGAGGCCCAGGACCGGTTCAGAAAACCGTCGCCGGCCGCCGGGTTCGTAGCTCGGTGCGCTGACCGCTTCCCCGTACACGCTCGCACTCACTCACTCGCTCTCACTCGCTCGTACGCTCGCACTCACTCACTCGCTGTACGCTCGCATTCACTCACCGCTCGTACGCTCGCACTCACTCACTCGCTCGTACGCTCGCACTCACTCACTCGCTCGCACGCTCGCACTCACTCACTCGCTCGTACGCTCGCACTCACTCACTCGCTCGTACGCTCGCACTCACTCACTCGCTCGTACGCTCGCACTCACTCACTTCGCTCGTACGCTCGCACTCACCTCACTCACACGCTCTCACTCGCTCGTACGCTCGCACTCACTCACTCGCTCGTACGCTCGCACTCACTCACTCGCTCGCACGCTCGCACGCACGCTCGCACGCAGCGCGGACTGCCGCGCCGGACGCCTCGTGGGTGGCAGCGCGACACTCACGGTAGTAGCCCTCCGAGTCGGTCCAGTTGTCACGGAGGTTCGGGTTCTCCTTGAAGTCGCGTCCGAGGCTCGCGGCCTTCAGCTTGGGGCTCTGAGACGGCGACACGCGGCAACACACACACACACACGGAGGGGGCTAAGCGGGCGCGGCACGGGCTAGAGAAGAGACGGGAGTGACGCGGTACAGGAGGAGGACGTGGAGCTGAGTGGACTCGCCGGTGGACGGTACGGCGGTGTCTTAAGATCGGCCTCTGCGGAGGAGGCTCGTCAAGGACGCTACTGGGCTAATTGGAGGCAGTCGCCCTCCAGCAACAACGGAGGGCGGAGGAGCGAGGCTGGGCAGCCAAAACGCAGAAGGTTGGCAGTGGGGAGCACTGGTGGTACATCTGCCAGTCATCTCGGTCAGTTAACCAATGGCACCTGGGTCTGTCCCGTGAGCTGCTGCCAGGAGGAGTTCGACGTTTCAAGTGGCCTTAACGTGCACCTAGCCTGGCACAAGCACTGTGGCGATGTATCCTCCACTTAGTGGCGAATGGCGGTTGTTGTCGTGTGCGACTGTGTGCGTTGAGAGTGAGTGTGTGTGTGTGTGCGTTGAGAGTGAGTGTGTGTGTGCGTTGAGAGTGAGTGTGTGTGTGTGTGCGTTGAGAGTGTGTGTGTGTGTGCGTTGAGTGTGTGTGTGTGTGTGTGCGTTGAGAGTGAGTGTGTGTGTGTGTTGAGAGTGAGTGTGTGTGTGCGTTGAGAGTGAGTGTGTGTGTGCGTTGAGAGTGAGTGTGTGTGTTGAGAGTGAGTGTGTGTGTGCGTTGAGAGTGAGTGTGTGTGTGCGTTGAGAGTGAGTGTGTGTGTGTGCGTTGAGAGTGAGTGTGTGTGTGTGCGTTGAGAGTGAGTGTGTGTGTGTGCGTTGAGAGTGTGTGTGTGTGTGCGTTGAGAGTGAGTGTGTGTGTGCGTTGAGAGTGTGTGTGCGTTGAGAGTGAGTGTGTGTGTGCGTTGAGAGTGAGTGTGTGTGTGCGTTGAGAGTGAGTGTGTGTGTGCGTTGAGAGTGAGTGTGTGTTGAGAGTGAGTGTGTGTGTGCGTTGAGAGTGAGTGTGTGTGTGCGTTGAGAGTGAGTGTGTGTGTGCGTTGAGAGTGAGTGTGTGTGTGCGTTGAGAGTGAGTGTGTGTGTGCGTTGAGAGTGAGTGTGTGTGTGTGTTGAGAGTGAGTGTGTGTGTGTGTTGAGAGTGAGTGTGTGTGTGCGTTGAGTGAGTGTGTGTGTGCGTTGAGAGTGAGTGTGTGTGTTGAGAGTGAGTGTGCGTTGAGAGTGAGTGTGTGTGTGTGCGTTGAGAGTGTGTGTGTGTGTGTGCGTTGAGAGTGAGTGTGTGTGTGCGTTGAGAGTGAGTGTGTGTGTGTGTGCGTTGAGAGTGTGTGTGTGTGCGTTGAGAGTGAGTGTGTGTGTGCGTTGAGAGTGAGTGTGTGTGTGCGTTGAGAGTGAGTGTGTGTGTGTGTGCGTTGAGAGTGAGTGTGTGTGTGCGTTGAGAGTGAGTGTGTGTGTGCGTTGAGAGTGAGTGTGTGTGTGTGTTGAGAGTGAGTGTGTGTGTGCGTTGAGTGAGTGTGTGTGTGCGTTGAGAGTGTGTGTGTGCGTTGAGAGTGAGTGTGTGTGTTGAGAGTGAGTGTGCGTTGAGAGTGAGTGTGTGTGTGCGTTGAGAGTGTGTGTGTGTGTGTGCGTTGAGAGTGAGTGTGTGTGTGCGTTGAGAGTGAGTGTGTGTGCGTTGAGAGTGTGTGTGTGTGCGTTGAGAGTGTGTGTGTGTGCGTTGAGAGTGTGTGTGTGTGCGTTGAGAGTGTGTGTGTGTGTGCGTTGAGAGTGAGTGAGTGTGCGTGTGCGTTGAGAGTGAGTGTGTGTGTGCGTTGAGAGTGAGTGTGTGTGCGTTGAGAGTGAGTGTGCGTGTGTGGCTCACGTCAAAGTGCTCGGCGAACATGTCGTCAGACTCCACAAACATGTCCGGCACGGACGGACGCTTGGTTACTACGGCTGGAGAGAGGGCGGACATGTGGAGGAGGGGACAGACCACATGGGTCAACAACCACAACAACCACCACCACAACAACAACAACCACCACCACAACAACAACAACCACCACAAATACTACAACAACCACAACAACCACCACCACCACAACAACAACCACAACAACCACCACAACAACCACCACAAATACTACAACAACCACAACAACAACCACCACCACCACAACAACCACCACAAATACTACAACAACCACAACAACAACCACCACCACCACAACAACAACCACCACAACAACCACCACAAATACTACAACAACCACAACAACAACCACCACCACAACAACAACCACAACAACCACCACCACCACAACAACCACCACAAATACTACAACAACCACAACAACAACCACCACCACAACAACCACAACAACCACCACCACAACAACCACCACAACAACAACAACCACAACAACAACCACCACAACAACAACCACCACCACAACAATAACCACCGCCACAAACACTACAACAACCACAACCACCACAACCACCACAGCTACTAATCCTAGCCATGTGGGGCATGTCCGGGCCGTAAGCGCGTTTGCCGTTCACTGCAGAAGTTCCCGGTTCTAATCCGGCGGGCAGCCCTGGTTATTACCGCATTGGGGTGCGGCCGGGACGAGATGCTCACTGCCTCGCACGGGAGTGAGCACGGTGGGTTCCAGCTGGACCCTCCCTCGCGCCTGCTGTATAATTCGGAGCTCACATGGTCTCCCCGCGGCCGCGTGGGATTTTTCCTCCGGATCCCTCCGGTTTTTCCCTCACCAGAATCTAGAACCGACGCAACGTCAGGACGGAGTTTGGCAGCTGTGAGCCTCCACGGCCACTTCGCCACGCAATCGCCGATGGCGGGGTCGGGTCGCTTCTGAGAAAAAGCAGCGCGGCTGAGCGGGCTTAAATTTCGACTTGTGAAGCTTTCGTGACTGCAAGGGTTCATCTTCTTTGGTTCTTTCGGTAAAGTCACCACCACCACCACGTAGAATGAGAATAAAACAATGAAACAAAAGAATAAAATTCCCACGACGCTTCGGCCACAAACACAAGCGGCCTTCTTCAGGTGAAGGAACAAAACTGTCGGGACGACAGTCTAGTTTTTGAGTATTTGGCTGATATCAACGTCCACGTGACGGTGACAAGAAACTTCCTTGAGCCACCGTTTGCGATAGCCCCAGGTGATGGCTTCTTAAAAAAAATAGCTGGATAAGCTCAGTGGGGGGGGGAGGGAGCGTTACCTGGTAAAATAAAAAAAAAATTCGATTTAAAGCTTTCGTGACTGCAATGATTCATCAAAATTTGTTTAATTAAATGTTCAGGTCGCTTCTGAAAACGAGCTACAGCGAAACCTTGGATTGCGAGTAAACTTGATCTGCGAGTGTGTTGCAAGACGGGCAGAACATTTTTAATAAACATTAATTTGACAAACGAGCGAGGGGTCTTGCAATTACGAGCAGTACGTGTACGGTATACACGCTTTGTCTGCCCAGCATCACGTGATCACAACTGAGCCAATGGTTCTTCTCTCTCTCTCTCGCTGCGGGATTCTGGGTAATCGTCTCCCATGCTCAAGTCTCGGTCGGCGTGCCTCGCTCGTAATAGTCAACATCAGTGCGAGCGTTTACTGTTTACTATAGTACTATAGTGTTGTGACCACGTGTATACTGTTTACTATAGTACTATAGTGTTGAGACCACGTGTATACTGTTTACTATAGTACTATAGTGTTGTGACCACGTGTGTACTGTTTACTATAGTGTGGGTGACCACGTGTATACTGTTTACTATAGTACTATAGTGTTGTGACCACGTGTATACTGTTTACTATAGTACTATAGTGTTGTGACCACGTGTATACTGTTTACTATAGTGTGGTGACCACGTGTATACTGTTTACTATAGTACTATAGTGTGGTGACCACGTGTATACTGTTTACTATAGTACTATAGTGTTGTGACCACGTGTATACTGTTTACTATAGTGTGGTGACCACGTGTATACTGTTTACTACAGTACTATAGTGTTGTGACCACGTGTATACTGTTTACTATAGTACTATAGTGTTGTGACCACGTGTATACTGTTTACTACAGTACTATAGTGTTGTGACCACGTGTGTACTGTTTACTACAGTACTATAGTGTTGTGACCACGTGTATACTGTTTACTACAGTACTATAGTGTGGTGACCACGTGTATACTGTTTACTATAGTACTATAGTGTTGTGACCACGTGTATACTGTTTACTACAGTACTATAGTGTTGTGACCACGTGTATACTGTTTACTACAGTACTATAGTGTTGTGACCACGTGTATACTGTTTACTACAGTACTATAGTGTTGTGACCACGTGTATACTGTTTACTATAGTACTATAGTGTTGTGACCACGTGTATACTGTTTACTATAGTACTATAGTGTTGTGACCACGTGTGTACTGTTTACTACAGTACTATAGTGTTGTGACACGTTTGTAATGTTTACTACAGTACTATAGTGCTGTGACAACGTGTATACTGTTTACTATAGTACTGTAGTGTTGTGACCACGTGTGTACTGTTTACTACAGTACTATAGTGTTGTGACCACGTGTATACTGTTTACTACAGTACTATAGTGTTGTGACCACGTGTATATTGTTTACTACAGTACCATAGTGTTGTGACCACGTGTGTACTGTTTACTACAGTACTATAGTGTTGTGACCACGTGTGTACTGTTTACTACGGTACTATAGTGTTGTGACCACGCGTATACTGTTTACTATAGTACTATAGTGTTGTGACCACGTGTGTACTGTTTACTACAGTACTATAGTGTTGTGACCACGTGTATACTGTTTACTACGGTACTATAGTGTTGTGACCACGTGTGTACTGTTTACTACGGTACTATAGTGTTGTGACCACGTGTGTACTGTTTACTATAGTACTATAGTGTTGTGACCACGTGTATACTGATTACTACAGTACTATAGTGTTGTGACCACGTGTGTGTGCGTAAAGCATTTTTTGTTATTTTGTGTCCAAATGTAGTGACTGTTCTTTAGTAACTGTACTGCAAGTTAAAGTCGTCCTACACAATAACCCCCCCTCCCTCCTCTCTCTCTCTCTCGTCCCCCTCACAGCCGGCCACGATTAAATGTCATTCATACATTTGAACGCTTTATGATACATTTAAATAATAAACGTACAACGAAGGTATTCTGCACTAATCATTTTTACATGAAAACAGCATTTCCGGGTTGTGGACCGAATCGTCCCGAGTTTCCATCCTTCCTTACGGGGGGGGAAAGTTCGCTCTGATGCGCGAGTCCTTTGGATTACGAGCACGCTTTCCGGAACGAATGACTTCGCCACGCAATCGCCGATGGCGGGGTCGGGTCGCTTCTGAGAAAAAGCAGCGCGGCTGAGCGGGCTTAAATTTCGACTTGTGAAGCTTTCGTGACTGCAAGGGTTCATCTTCTTTGGTTCTTTCGGTAAAGTCACCACCACCACGTAGAATGAGAATAAAACAATGAAACAACACAAACACAAGTGGCCCTTCTTCAGGTGAAGGAACAAAACTGTCGGGACGACACTTTCGCTTTTGAGCATTTGGCTGATATCAACGTCCACGTGATGGTGATAAGAAACTTCCTTGAGCCACCGTCTGCGATAGCTCGCAATCCAAGGCTTCGCTGCGCCATGTAGCTCAGCGGGGTACGTGCCGGCTGGCCGCTCCACTCGCCGCGGACGTGACGTCACCCGCAAGGGTCGGGCCATCGGTGGCGTGCCGGCGTCACCCCATCCAAATTCGCCGCCATGGGTACAAATTTGGCAAAAATGTAGAAAGGGGGGAAAACCAAAAAAAAATACATCGCGGCAACCGTCATCACCTTCCCCTGCTGGCAAAACGAATGCCCCACTTGCAGGCCCGCTTGCCGATCCACACTGCGCTGCACAGGGGCCAGCTGCCACTGGGGGTGCCCCTAGGCTAGGCAACATTGTAATCATCACCCCACTACTGGCAGACTAATGCCCCACTTGCAGGCCCGCTTGCCGATCCACACTGCGCTGCACAGGGACAGCTGCCACTGGGGGTGCCCATTATAAAGGTGTGACGCACGTACAGAGTAAAGCGTGCGTCAGGTGCCCGGGGAGGTGGTCTCTTGATGATTAAAACTTCACCACACCACCCACCCTCGCCTCACCACACTCACACCCTCGCCTCACCACACTCACACCCAGGCCTCACCACACTCACACCCAGGCCTCACCACACTCACACCCAGGCCTCACCACACTCACACCCAGGCCTCACCACACTCACACCCAGGCCTCACCACGCCTCCACTAGGCCTCAGCACACTCACACCCAGGCCTCACCACACTCACACCCAGGCCTCACCACACCTCCACTAGGCCTCACCACACTCACACCCAGGCCTCACCACGCCTCCACTAGGCCTCACCACACTCACACCCAGGCCTCACCACGACTCCACTAGGCCTCAGCACACTCACACCCAGGCCTCACCATGCCTCCCACCACGCCTCACCACACTTACACCCAGGTCTCACCACACCTCCACTAGGCCTCACCACACTTACACCCAGGTCTCACCACACCTCCACTAGGCCTCACCACACTCACACCCAGGCCTCACCACGCCTCACCACACTTCACCCAGGCCTCATCACCCCACCCCCATGCCTCACCACGCCTCCCTAATGCTTCACCGCACCATCCCCACGCCTCCACTAGGCCTCACCACACCTCCATCATGCTTCAACACCACACCACCGCCATGTCACATCACACCACAGCCATGTCACATCACACCACCGCCATGTCACATCACACCCATGCTTCATCAACACCACACCACCACCATGTCACATCACACCACCGCCATGCTTCATCAACACCACACCCCCTGCCATGTCACATCACACCACCGCCATGCTTCATCAACACCACACCCCCTGCCATGTCACATCACACCACCGCCATGCTTCATCAACACCACACCCACCCATGTCACACCACACCACCGCCATGCTTCACCACACAGCGCACCCAGGCCTCATCAACACCACACCACAGCCATGTCACACCACAGCCATGCTCCACCACACATCACACCCCCAGGCCTCATCAACATCACACCCCGCCATGTCACACCACACCCCCGCCATGTCACACCACACCACAGCCATGTCACACCACACCACAGCCATGCTTCACCACACAGCACCCCCAGGCCTCGCCACACATCACACCCCGCCAAGTCACACCACAACCCTGCTATGTCACATCACACCACAGCCATGTCACATCACACCACAGCCATGTCACACCACAACCCTGCTATGTCACATCACACCACAGCCATGCTTCACCACACATCACACCCCCGCCATGTCACACCACACCACCGCCATGTCACATCACACCACAGCCATGTCACACCACACCACCGCCATGATTCATCAACACCACACCACCACCATGTCACATCACACCACAGCCATGCTTCACCACACATCACACCACAGCCATGTCACACCACACCACAGCCATGTCACATCACACCACAGCCATGCTTCACCACACATCACACCACAGCCATGTCACATCACACCACAGCCATGTCACATCACACCACCGCCATGCTTCAACACACATCACACCACCACCATGTCACACCACACCACAGCCATGCTCCACCACACATCACACCCCCACCATGTCACACCACACCACAGCCATGCTCCACCACACATCACACCCCCACCATGTCACACCACACCACCGCCATGCTCCACCACACATCACACCCCCGCCATGTCACATCACACCACAACCATGTCACATCACACCACAGCCATGTCACACCACACCACCGCCATGCTCCACCACACATCACACCCCCGCCATGTCACATCACACCACAGCCATGTCACATCACACCACAGCCATGCTTCACCACACATCACACCACAACCATGTCACATCACACCACAGCCATGCTTCACCACACATCACACGCAGGCCTCATCAACACCACACCACAGCCATGTCACACCACAGCCATGTCACACCACACCACAGCCATGTCACATCACACCACAGCCATGCTTCACCACACATCACACCCCCGCCATGTCACACCACACCCCCGCCATGTCACATCACACCACAGCCATGTCACACCACACCACCGCCATGCTTCACCACACATCACACCCCCGCCATGTCACATCACACCACAACCATGTCACATCACACCACAGCCATGTCACATCACACCACAGCCATGCTTCACCACACATCACACCACAACCATGTCACATCACACCACAGCCATGTCACATCACACCACCGCCATGCTTCATCAAAACCACCGCCATGTCACATCACACCACAGCCATGCTTCACCACACATCACACCACAGCCATGTCACATCACACCACAGCCATGCTTCACCACACATCACACCACCGCCATGTCACATCACACCACAGCCATGTCACATCACACCACAGCCATGCTTCACCACACATCACACCACCGCCATGTCACATCACACCACAGCCATGTCACATCACACCACAGCCATGCTTCACCACACATCACACCACAACCATGTCACATCACACCACAGCCATGCTTCACCACACATCACACGCAGGCCTCATCAACACCACACCACAGCCATGTCACACCACAGCCATGTCACACCACACCACCGCCATGCTCCACCACACATCACACCCCCGCCATGTCACATCACACCACAACCATGTCACATCACACCACAACCATGTCACATCACACCACAGCCATGCTCCACCACACATCACACCCCCGCCATGTCACACAACACCACAACCATGTCACATCACACCACAACCATGTCACATCACACCACAGCCATGTCACACCACACCACCGCCATGCTCCACCACACATCACACCCCCGCCATGTCACACAACACCACAACCATGTCACATCACACCACAACCATGTCACATCACACCACAGCCATGTCACACCACACCACCGCCATGCTCCACCACACATCACACCACAACCATGTCACATCACACCACAACCATGTCACATCACACCACAACCATGTCACACCACACCACCGCCATGCTCCACCACACATCACACCACAACCATGTCACACCACACCACCGCCATGCTTCACCACACATCACACCCCCGCCATGTCACACCACACCACCGCCATGCTTCACCACACATCACACCCCCGCCATGTCACATCACACCACAACCATGTCACATCACACCACAGCCATGTCACATCACACCACAGCCATGTCACATCACACCACAGCCATGCTTCACCACACATCACACCACAACCATGTCACATCAAACCACAGCCATGTCACATCACACCACAGCCATGTCACATCACACCACCGCCATGCTCCACCACACATCACACCCCCGCCATGTCACACCACACCACCGCCATGTCACATCACACCACAGCCATGTCACACCACACCACCGCCATGCTTCATCAACACCACACCACCACCATGTCACATCACACCACAGCCATGTCACATCACACCACAGCCATGTCACATCACACCACAGCCATGTCACATCACACCACAGCCATGCTTCACCACACATCACACCACAACCATGTCACATCACACCACAGCCATGCTTCATCAAAACCACCGCCATGTCACATCATACCACAGCCATGCTTCACCACACATCACACCACAGCCATGTCACATCACACCACAGCCATGCTTCACCACACATCACACCACCGCCATGTCACATCACACCACAGCCATGTCACATCACACCACAGCCATGCTTCACCACACATCACACCACCGCCATGTCACATCACACCACAGCCATGTCACACCACACCACCGCCATGCTCCACCACACATCACACCCCCGCCATGTCACACCACACATCACCGCCATGCTTCACCACACATCACACCCCCCGCCATGTCACACCACACATCACACCCATGCTCCACCACACATCACACCCCCGCCATGTCACACCACACCACCGCCATGTCACACCACACACCACCGCCATGCTTCACCACACATCACACCCATGCTTCATCAACACCACACCCCCCGCCATGTCACACCACACACCACCGCCATGCCTCACCACCACATCGCACCCCCCAGGCCTCGCCACACCCCCCCATGTCACATCACACCACAGCCATGTCACACCACACCCCCCGCCATGTCACACCACACACCACCGCCATGCTTCACCACACATCACACCCATGCTTCATCAACACCACACCCCCCGCCATGTCACACCACACACCACCAGCCATGCCTCACCACCACATCGCACCCCCCAGGCCTCGCCACACACCACACCACACCACCACCCTCACACACTCCCCCGCCCCGGCCTCCCCCAACCCACCGCCCCAGGGCCGCGCCTCGCTCACCGCCGTTGCTGGTGCCCTCGTCCCAGGCAATCTGGCGCAGCTTGGCGGTGATGGCCTCCTCGAAAGTGTCCGCGTTGTGCAGCCGGTACTCCTGGACGTCGGCGGCGGCGCGCTCGCACAGCTCCTCCTCGGGGGAGGGCGACCGCGGCGGGGACGAGCGGGGGGACGAGCGCGGGGTGGAGCGCGGGGTGGAGCGCCCCGACTCCTGAGACACGGCCGCACTGCAGTCGTACTTCTGCGGGGGTTCGGCACGCGCCACGCATGGGGCGGGGGAGAGGGCGACAACGGTGGGTATGTACGTGTGTGTGTGTGTGTACGTGTGTGTGTGTGTACGTGTGTGTGTGTGTGTACGTGTGTGTGTACGTGTGTGTGTGTGTGTGTACGTGTGTGTACGTGTGTGGGTATGCACGTGTGTGTGTGTGTGTACGTGTGTGTGTACGTGTGTGTGTACGCGTGTGTGTGTGTACGTGTGTGTGTGTACGTGTGTGTGTACGTGTGTGCGTGTGTGTGTGTACGTGTGTGTGTACGTGTGTGTGTGTACGTGTGTGTGTGTAGGTGTGTGTGTGTGTGTGTGTGTGTGTGTACGTGTGTGTGTGTACGTGTGTGTGTGTGTGTGTACGTGTGTGTGTGTGTGTACGTGTGTGTGTGTGTACGTGTGTGTGTGTGTACGTGTGTGTGTGTGTGTACGTGTGTACGTGTGTGTACGTGTGTGTGTTTGTGTGTGTACGTGTGTGTGTACGTGTGTGTGTGTGTGTGTACGTGTGTGTGTGTGTACGTGTGTGTGTGTACGTGTGTGTGTGTACGTGTGTACGTGCGTGTGTGTACGTGTGTGTGTGTACGTGTGTGTGTACGTGTGTGTGTGTCCGGCAAAACAACCCCCTACCTCCTCGCGGTGCCGGACGGGCAACTCTGTCGTGGACAGCGCTGTGGGGGGAGATCCAATTTTGATTGGCTCCTCCCCTCATAGCATATGTGTCCACCACAGGGGCTAAACGGGGGCTCTGGACGGGTGCGAGGGGCTGGTAACCCCTCCACCTTCAATTAATTACCACGAAACTACGAATTAAACTGAAATATGTAACAACTAAGCTTGTGCCGGAGGCCCCGGGGGGCCAGGCGTCTATGACGTCTCCTGGCCAAACCCCAATTGGCGGAGCCAGGAGATTGAATACCTACCCTCGGGGCTACTCCAGAAACAACGAAAAGCCACTACGGTTGGCCACGTGGAATGTTCGAACGCTCACTGCAGAGGAGAGGCTGCCACTCCTCTGTCGGGAGCTGGACCGGTACCGCCTGGATCTATGCGGCATTCAGGAGGTCCGGTGGACCGGCTCTGGCTCCTGCCACCATGAGGGGTGGACAGTCCTCTACTCGGGGCAGCAGACTGCCAAACAACAGGGTGTGGGTCTTCTTTTGAACAAAAGAATGAAGGGGGCGTGGGAGCGTGGCGGTGAGGTGTGGGAAGCTGTAAGCCCCAGGCTACTTTGGGCTCGCCTTCCCATCAACCGGAGGCGAGGAATGGTGGTCGTGGTTACTTATGCCCCCACCGAAGATGAACATCCGTGGAGGGATGCAGGCAAAGCCGATGAGTCAGATGCCTTCTATGACCTCCTGTCACAGGTGCTGGCTAAAGTGGCCCCTCGGGATAGAGTCATCATGTTGGGTGACTTCAATGCCCGAGTTGGTCATGATACTGGCACCTGGTCTGGAGTGATTGGAGGGCATGGGCCAGATCAGCTCAATAACAACGGTAGGAGGCTGCTAGATTTTTGTGCAGCCCATGGGCTTGTAATTACCAACACGCTGTTCCGGCATCGGCGCATCCACACAACATCATGGATGCATGCCGGGTCCAAGCAAGAACATCTGCTGGACTACATAGTGACGGACCAGCGAATGCGAGCCCATGTCCTTGACACCAGGACCTACCGTGGAGCTGATCTGCCCTCTGACCATCGACTAGTCATCTGTAAGATGCGCCTGCCATTCTTCCACTCCGGTGGTGGGTGTACACCCAGGACCCCATTCCAACCTAAAGTGGCCTGGTCTCAGTTATCTGATGAAAGTTGCAAGCGAGAATTTCATCATCGCTTGCGGCTGGGATTGGCATCGTCCCCGACTCCTCCTGATGTCGAGGGTAAATGGGCGAGGTTTAGGACTGTGACTCATGCAGCTGCAATGGCTGCTTTGGGTACGCGGTCCAGACCTCCCCAGACACCCTGGATGACAGAGGAGTTGTTCACGATGGTTGAGAAAAAGCGACAGGCCCACTGTCATCGGCTACAGAATCCCACGTCAGAGAATGAGGAGGCTTACCGCAGCCTTCGCTCGGAGGTTCGGAGAGCCGTGAGGCGCTGCAAGGATGGGTGGTGGTCGCGGGTTGCTGAGGAGATGGAGTCTGCCTCAGTGGCCCGTGATCACAAATCTCTATTTAACTCCATCAAAAAAGTAACCTGCAGCACCACACCTATTACCATCATTAGGGGAAAAAACGGTGATCCAATTTCCGACCCCCAGGAACAGGTTCGCAGATTTGCTGAGCATTTCTGTGAGGTCCTGGGGGAGGGAAAATCCCTCAGCCAGGAAAACATCGTGGCACAAAGTGAGGATGACCCTGCTGAGGCTGCGGTGCCTCAAATATTGGATGAAGTCACCCCCTGTGAGTGGCTGGCTGAGGTGCCATCTGCTGAGGAAGTATTGAAGGCGATCCGGAGTCTGAGACCAGGAAAGGCAGCGGGCAGAGATGATCTCCCAAGCGAAATGCTGAGGGAGGGTGGCGTTTGTGCACAGACTGCCCTATATGACATCATAACAACAGTCTGGACCACTGGACGGGTTCCGCAGGATTGGAAGGATGCCCTGGTGGTCCCCCTTTTTAAGAAGGGGGACCGCACAGACTGTAACAACTACAGGGGCATCTCACTCCTCAGTGTGCCGGGAAAGGTCCTGGCAAGGATTATTCAGCATCGCCTTGCCAGGCACGCTGAGGAGAGGCTTGCGGAGCCCCAATGCGGTTTCAGGAAAGGGCGGTCCTGCACAGATGCCATATTTTCTGTCCGTCTGCTACAGCAGAGGTGTAGGGAATTCCAACAAGACCTACATCTCTGCTTTATTGACCTGGTCAAGGCCTATGATACCATCAGTAGGCCTGGGCTCTGGGTCGTTCTTCGTGCTTTTGGAGTACCTGACCCTCTGCTCACGATCATTAAGGACCTTCATGATGGTGAGCGGGCCCGGGTAAAACTACGTGGCCGGGAGTCAGAGCCATTCCCTGTACACCTTGGGGTGCGACAGGGATGTCCTCTGGCTCCCACATTATTTAACATCTATTTTGACCACGTAGTTCGTGAAGCCTTCAATAGCTGTACCGGGGGAATCTCCATATGGTACAGATATAATGGGAGGCTAATCGATGCCCGGGTGCGGTCAAGGGATGGCTCCCTATTGCTCAACCACGTTATGTATGCTGATGACTTGGTAATAGCTGCTCAGTCAGAGGAGGAGTTGGAGACGCTGCTGCTGAGACTGGAGCGTGCCACTAAGAGGTGGGGCCTTACCATCAGCCCCACCAAAACTAAGCACCTGCCTGGGTATTTTGTACCATCGGACACTCCACCCCCACAACTCCCAATCGGTGATGGGGCAGTTGTGGAGAGAGTGGAGAGTTTCCCATACCTGGGCAGTGTGCTTATGACTGGCTCCAGTTTAACAGCAGAGGTCTCACTCCGAATCAGTCGAGCGGCAATATCTTTTCATCGGTTGCGTAACGCTGTGTGGAAGCTACCTGGTCTGTCGCTCCGCACTAAGCTTCAGGTCTTCTCGGCCACGGTCATTCCCTCCCTTCTCTACGCTTGCGAAACGTGGACCCCCCTAATGGAACATCTTCGCCGGTTAGAAACATTTAGGCTGGCCTGCCTACGATCCATCCTGGGTTTAACCAGACTGGATTGTGTGAGGAGCTCACAAATCCTTGAAAGATCTGGGCAGGGTCCCATCGGTGAGCTCCTCCGGCAGGCAAGGCTGCGATGGCTGGGTCATGTAGCCCGCATGCCCAGCCACCGCATGCCGAAACAGCTTTTGTTTGGCCGGATTGAGGGGGCTAAGCGGGCGCGGCACGGGCTAGAGAAGAGATGGAGTGATGTGGTACAGGAGGACGTGGAGCTGAGTGGACTTGCCGATGACTGGTACCAGCGGTGTCAAGATCGGCCTCTGTGGAGGAGGCTCGTGAAGGATGCTACTGGGCAGTTGGAGGCAGTCGCCCTCCAACAACAACGGAGGGCGGAGGAGCGACGCTCACAACAGCGAGCGGAGCGCCGGGTGGCTAAAGCACAGCAGGTTGGCACAGTAGGGGGCACAGGTGGTGCATCAGCCAGTCATCTCAGTCAGTCGACCCGTGGCACCTGGGTCTGCCCCGTGACCTCCTGCCAGCGGGCGTTCGACACTTCACGTGGCCTCAGGGTGCACATAGCCTGGCACAAGCGTCGTGGTGACGTCACCGCCACTTAGTGGCGAATGGCGGTTGTTGTTGTTGTTGTGTGTGTATGCACGTGTGTGTGTGTACGTGTGTGTGTATGCACGTGTGTGTGTGTACGGGTGTGTACGTGTGTGTACGTGTGTGTGTACGTGTGTGTGTACGTGTGTGTGTGCGTGTGTGTGTGCGTGTGTACGTGTGTGTGTGTACGTGTGTGTGTGTACGTGTGTGTGTGTGTGCGTGCACATGTGGCACAAGCGTCGTGGTGACGTCACCGCCACTTAGTGGCGAATGGCGGTTGTTGTTGTATGTGTGTGTGTGAACGTTGAACTTCGATCGCGCTACCGTACGTAGCCAACCGTGCTGATCGCACTTGCGGGGGAAAGACAACAAACTGTGGGTCTCAGGGTGAGTCTGTTGGTCTGTGTGAGTCGGTGGGTCTCTGTGTGGTGAGTCTATGGGTCTCTGTGTAGTTAGTCTATCGGTCTCTGTGTGGTGAGTCTATGGGTCTCTGTGTGGTGAGTCTATGGGTCTCTGTGTGGTAAGTCTATGGGTCTCTGTGTGGTGAGTCTATGGGTCTCTGTGTGGTGAGTCTATGGGTCTCTGTGTGGTGAGTCTGTGGGTCTCTGTGTGGTGAGTCTATGGGTCTCTGTGTGGTGAGTCTATGGGTCTCTGTGTGAGTCTATGGGTCTATGTGTGGGGAGTCGGTGGGTCTCTGTGTGGTGAGTCTATGGGTATCTCTGTGGTGAGTCTATGGGTCTCTG